GCAATTGCATTTTACTCAAATTTACCCCTCTCAGTCACTGTGATTTTTCTTGTTTTGTTTTTCTCTTTTTTTCTTTTTTGTCTACTGTTGGTTTTCTAGTTTTGTTTCCGACCTTTATTTTTTCATTTTCCGTTAGAACCTTTTCACTTTATATTTAAAATAATTTTTGTTTCTTCTCATTCGTCTTTCCAGATAGGAGTAAAATAGGAGCGCGTTTTTGAGCTCTTGAAACTGTGATTTTTTGATTACGTAATTTATATATTTAAAATTCGTATTTATAAAGTTAACGATTCTTAATCAGGTAAAATTCTTATTTGATGTTGTGATGCAAACCACATTAAGTGTTTCAAATGCTAAGTTGCAACAACGGCCAATAAACTGCAAAGACAAACACACATAATCAATTTTTATTCATTTTACATAAATTGTATACAGATAAACATTCAACATATATTTTTATTATTTACAAACAATTACTTTTGGTAACGCGGTGCATAAGCAGGTACATAAAAATATTTTCAATATAAGCATTTATAAACACACTAAGTCGAAAATATTTCTGAAAGATAGAAATGTCGTTGATAGCTTGAGGTTGCCTTCCAACAAAGAGCAAGATTATCACATTGAGATTAAGAGCTGAAAATACCCTTACATATTATGAAGCTAAATATACGTATTAGGACTTGAACTCAAATCTCTTGCATTAGGACTTGAATTCAAAGTATGCGCTGAAATCAAACTCAAAAAATGAGTAGGGACTCAAAATATGCAATAGAATCTGAATACGAAGTACATGTGAAAAATCAAACTCAAATAAAAACATTTGAAAATGGAAGAAAGAAAAGATTAAAAACGGAGAATGAAATGTCAAGTACAAAATAAAAGTTTGATATTTTAATTATTTAAATAAAAATTGACTGCTAGAAATTTCATTTGGATCTCAGTGGGTACCATATAGTTTTTTTCGCTAGCTATTTTCTTGACACTGAGAAAAAAAGTATGGTAAGCTACCAGAATATGGGGAAATTTACCGTGTTCCTGTTGCTATGGGAACCCAAAAGCTTGGTAATTTTTAATGAAGAGCTTTGGTAAAGATGCAGGTAAAATTAACAATAAAATGTGGTTTTACGTTATGAGATACAACTTTAAGTACAGTTTGGTAATTTTATCATGATACATTAGAACATGCCATAAAAGCCATTTGTTTTTCTAAATTTACTTTTCAGTTTATATTTTTTTATAAATTTGTGGTAATAAGAGCTATAATTTTGAAAACCAAAAATTCCGATAAATCATTACCATATGAGTGAAAAATTTACCAACAAAATTATTTAAATATAGTATATTTTTGTTTTTATTGGTAGAAATATAGTTTGTTTTTCGTCAGAAATGCTATTACAATTCAGTTCTTAATTTTACTAGATTTTTTTTCTCCTTGAATCAAGCGAGAAAAAGTAAGCATAAAAGATAGCCAATATAAAACATATTATAACTTTCAAAAATCAAAACTAAAACCACAAAAAAGCACAATAACAAAAGACAATAATCTCAATACTAAACTTAGTGATGTCACAATTACGATTTCCCCACGAAGGTTGCAACAACTAAATTATAATATAACTTTCAAGTGTCTTGGGCATCATTTACGGAAGTTCATCCACATACTGGAGTCAAATGCAGCAGTACTGTACCAAAATCTATATACTTGATATTTTTAAAATAGCGTAAAAATAAATGTTGCAATTTAAAAATAAATTAAAATTGTGCTTTATTTTTTATGTACAGTTACAAGATATTTCAGCAAGCCTCATTAATTTTCAAGGAAACTTTTTTTATGATATTTTCAGAAAACACAAAGGTAACATTCCATCGTAAACATTCATATTTAACATTATTTACACCCAAATATTTTATTTACACAACAAAACAATCATTTTATATGCATTAATAGTCGTATAAACAGTTTTTTACAATTTGTTAATTAATTTCAGGCCGTTTGTAAATTCTATCCGAACATAACATACCATTTCATACATAAATTTAAAATGAAAATTTAAACAAAATATTATTTTTTTCAAATGAATCAAACTATTGTAACAACACAGAATCAAATTGAATTTATTAATCAAAAGTGAATATCAGTTTATTTTATACCAATGATTTAAAATACTCTAAAAAAGTAAATAGTAAATAAATTTTATTTGCAACAAATAGGTTATACAAACACAATTCTGGAGACACAGAGAAGATTATGAATAAATATATGCTTGGAATTGAAATATATTTAAATTTACTTTAAAAAGCAGTGGGATTTATTTAGATGCAATAGAGAAGCATGCTATATAGAATAAAAAAAACATATACATTGAGTGTTACATGCAGAACTGTTGCCAAAAATACAAATAAAATATTTTATTGCTTCATTTCGGCTCTAATTACAGAGTGATTAATTAAGAACTTTATTTTTAAATTATTCTCTCTATAAAAGGAAAATAATTGTAAATAAAATAATATTCGTTTTGTAAAATACTTTTCACAAATTATAGTCTTTATAAGTTAATAATTCTTATATTTTTTTCTGATAGCTTTATTGTTTAATTTATCCATTAATTTCAAATTCCAATTTAATTCAAATTAAAAATTACAGAAATAGAATAATTAATAGAACATTGCCTGCCAAATATTTGATTTAGAATATTTCAGACAACAATTTTTAGAGAAAGATCTCATATCCACTCCAGTTTGCTTATCATGTTGTTGCGTATTCCACACAGTTAACTGCAAGAATTAAGTCTTTTAAATTATTGTGTGTCAGATACCCAAATACCTTAGAGAGGCAAAATTTTGAAATTTTTGTTTTAGAAACATGGTATAAATACAAGAAAAATTGATTTAAAAAAATAAGCTGCAAAACTGGTCAAAAAGGGCGAAAAGTGAGCTTTTTTTTCCAAATCAAATAACTTATTTAAAAAAAATTTTTATCAATCATGCTTTATAATACTCATAAAAATTAAACCCAAGAAATAGTCTAAGCATTAGGCATAATATAATTATTTAGATATCTTACAGCAAATACACAAACTTATTTGGCAAAAAAAAGTGAGAAATAGTGATTAATTATTTTTATTTTAGATGTAAAATATAAAATAATAGCTCTCCTCTGATTCGTAGTCTAATCCCTAGTATAGAAGCAGTCATAGTATAAAAGCATTCATACAAAATTCGAAGTAATTTGAACTAAAAAATTTTCTTTCTTTTTGACGTCGAAGCAAAATTCAAACGGTTTTTGAAAGAGAAAGCTCTATACTTATATTCATTAAATATATATTTTGGTCAAAAATGGCCTAAGAAACAGAATCCGGTACTTTAACTACTAGAATTAGAGTTTGTACTTTGAAGAATTAGAGCTTCAACCGGCTGGTTTTGAGAAAACACTGTTATGCTCTAATATATTTATTATAAATTCATTCATATTGAATATATAACTGGAAATATTTCAGTTTATTGAAAGCAATTCAACAAAAACGGCATTTTTTGTAATATTATAAAATATTCTTCATTGCTTATTTGTTTCTGGAAAGTATTGCATGATATTATACGTATATTGTATGTATCGTAAGATGAAAAAACATTGCATAAAATCATTAAAAAAACATTCTTAAATTTTGCCGATGAAAAATAAACTTCGCACTAATCAAATGTGGCCAAATAATTTTTAGATCTTATGAAATATGAGGTTCATAATTTCTTTGTATGATTCTCTAATTTTTTACATGTTTTTTTTCTCGAGAAAAAAAATTACTATTTCTAGCATAGATTATTAATAAAAACAAATTACAACTTGTTCATTTTATCTTTTTTAATAAGTAACAATTTCTTATATTTTCTATTAATTATTTATTATCTATTCGCATAATTTTATTAATTATTTCAGTAAATTGAATTAATTGTTTGTGATCTAGCTTTATATATGAATGCTTAATAATAATTTTAAAAAATATATTTTTATTTACTTTACTTTATTTCATTTATAATTGTAAGCCCAAACACATATTTAACTAAATATAATTATTGAACAAAATTATATAATGATAAATCTTCCTTAAATGTAACCATACTGCAACATTGAAAGAACCATGTATTTAAAAATCTGAGTGCTCCTGCATCAGATTTTTTTCAATTCAAATTCGGAAGCTTCATGGGATTTATTTGCACTATAAACTATTGAATATAATATTTTAATTAATACTTTGAAAATCTGATAGTCTCAACGCACTTTTTAAAATGTGTTTTAAATCAATAAACTAGAAAAGACTAAAAAATATCTATTAATTTGGCAGTTGAATATAGAATTTAAAATTTATAAATAAATTTTTTAAATATTAGTTAATAAAAAATCCTATTTATATTTTTTAACAATCATAATATATTTGTAGCATAAATGTTATTATAGGTTAATATTCTCAAACATTTATGAATTATCTGTGAACTTCAAACGATTTTCAAATCCATATAAATGACATTTTATGTTCTCAGTTAGCTATAATAAGAAAATATGATATATAAACTATCTTAAATATATAAAATGTCTAACGCATCACGTTAAAGCTTGTATTCAATTATATATTTTGTTCTTAAATGTTCCTTTTGTACAATAATGCATTTCATTTTTATTACGTCATATAAAAAAATTGAGCAAATTATGTGACACGTAATTTTGAAAATTATTATATAACATCGAGAAAATATTACAATATAAAGCTTTTACTATCACTGTAGAAAAGGGTTTTTCAAAATGGAACAAAAAAGGGGTAAAATAGCTCCGAAACAAATACAGCCAAATTTGAAAACCCCTTGTATTCATTATTGCGTGTAGTAACATGGTCAAAATGCTCAATAATGCTGGGGAAAAAGCGCATATGTGGGTAATAAAAAATCGACAATATACAAATATTATCGATTTTCAAAATCGATAATATTTGTTTCGGAGCAATCTTGATACATTTTTGCTCAATTTCGAAAAATTCTTTCTAACAGTGATTATTAAACAAAAAAGTGAAACAACAATATTTTTATGTGCATATAAGAATCACAATATAATTTACTCAAGTAATATCACATTACTTATTTTTAAAATTACTATAATATTAACAGATATTTAATTTCATTAAAGTTATTTCCGTTTTTTTTAAAAGTAATTAGATTTAGGTTTGAAATATTTAAAATTAAAAATAAAACTAGTTTATAAAATCTTTGCATAACAACAATTTTTATAACGAATTTGATCGTTAAGTTTCAGTTGTTCTTGATGTCCATATCATATATATATATAAACACAGTTATTTTTACAAACCCATAGTTATTTCAATCTCAGAACTCTTTCATTATTGGGTACCAATGAATGAAAAATAAATTGGATCCTCCGCTAAAATGTTCATCAAGTTTTTGCGCCAACCGGAAAAGCGCATGGAAGAAATAAAAAAATTTAAAAAAAATGCAGAATGGGACACAATTGAAGGGCAAAATTGGGTGACTTAATTTCAATCCATAAACCTAACCTCTTCGCGTGCAATTGTTTATTAATCGTAAAAGTCATCAGGATCACTGGATTACGGAAGTTTGCCCAATTTGAAATAAGCAACAAAAAATAATGATAGATCTTTTCATTACTTAAGCTGAACTACAATAATTTTTTTCCAACATAATGCAAAGTTAATTAAATTCATTTTTTATAACATCTGGAATATTTCAAGTAAACAGTTATTAGAAAAAAAACACATATTACAACATCAATACTCCATGCTCAAAAAGGATGTAAAATATCCACATCGATAAATCATTTAATCAAGTTCTTTTTGAAAGAAACTCTCTTTTCTGACGTCGGAGTAGGCGTGGGAGACGAACCCATGCCTTTCAAAAAGGCTTCAATTGCACCACCAAGCAAGTTTGGATCCACAAAATTGCTATCGTCCCATTGTACCGGCGCATCACTGCTCTCTCCTTCAGCATCTTCATTTTCCTCTACAATCCTGTCTTTAATCTCAATCAAAGGTCCAGACAACCGTCTTTTAACCTCTGGTACAACTTCCAAGAATGTCCCAGTCTTTTTTATGCATATATCATCCGTTACAGTTCTTCTGATAGTGGGTGGACGAGCTGGGCTCGTTGAAGGAGGTTGGTATACCACAGTCTTGATTGCTGGCTTGTTTGGGGATCCTCTGAACACCGCTCTTTCGACATTGGGCAAGGTGGTTGGATCCAGGGATGCTGACCTTGAGGATCTGAAGGATCCACGAGTCAGTGGAGAGTTAGGAGCAACTTTGATGGAAGGGGACTTGAGAACTGGTATAGGTGATGTTGGAAGACTGGAAGCTACTGGAACGATTAGCTCAGCAGGGGAAGACACTCGTCTCTCTTTGTTGTTTGGTACTTTATTGATGAGAGAAAGAAGGTCTTCCTTCTTGCAAATGATTCCTCTGACTTCCGGACTTCCCAGCTTAAAAGAGAAAAAAAAAACAGAAATTAATTTTAAAATTTCCAATTCAAATAGACAGAAAATCAAACTTAATTATTTTTCTGACAAATTAAATTTTAGTGAATTTAGAATTATTTTAAACTTAAAATGTTAAGCTATTGAATGAATACAAATATGAATAGCATTAGATTTTTCAATAAAGAAACATATTCGTGAATAAATTGAATTACTTTAAGAGCTTACAAGAGCTTTGATATGTTTTAGTATCGTTCTAATTCAACAAAAGATTTTTTTCTTAAATTCTCTTGACTACTTTGAATCTGAAAACGAAACTTAAACACATTTATCACTCTTTAAAATGAAAATTTATATATATTTAGAGTATATATTAGCATGAAAAGCATAAGGAAAAAGAATACCATCATATCTTAAATTTAAATAAATCCATAACGAAAAAAATACCAACACTATCTAATGTTTTTTCTTATAAAACAATTATTCGATGTTTATGTAAATATAGACTGAATGAGAGGTAACATTCAAAGTATAGCAACTCATAACTTGATCTATTATAGGATTTTAATTTTACTTCCGTTGTAGTTTTCAACTCAATATAATTTACAAAACCTAAAAAAAAATACATACATATTTCAGGCTAAGTTTAAAATTTTTAACTTATTCATGACTAATATAATCATTTTCAATCATTTGCCTTGTTTAAACTTTAACTCGTAAACGCAAATATCCATAAATAGTTATACCGCTTGGAGAGAAAAAACTCTGGTAGCAATTCCATACCATGGTAAATAAATTTCTGGTAAATAAAAAAATAATTCTGCTTAATATCTAAATATCTTGGAAATTTTTCTGTTCTGATAGTACCAGTTTACTGGAAATTCTGGTTTTCAGAATATAAATTCTTATTACCGCATATTCAGCAAAAAATACGAAACTGTAAAGTAAACTTAACCGAATAAATGATTTTTATTCCATGCTCAAAATTATCGTTGTAAAATTACCGAATTTTACCACATTTACCAAATTTTACCTTACAATATGAAACCATATTTTATTGCTAATTTTACCAAAAAATCATTTCAAAGTACTTCTGAAAAAATTGTCAAGCATTTTTATGTTTCCATAACGCCAGAAACATGGTAAATTTTACCATATTTTTGGTAGTTTTGACCACACCTTTTTTTCTCAGTGTGGGGATTTTTGATTCTCCGAGTTTAGGATACTTGCGTACTTTATATCCTGGTATTACCATCCGAAAAATAATACCCCTATTTATATTCAAACATTTGCAACTTTACATGCTTGAATATTATCATTACCTTTAAGGATTCACTATCCACATTTGGCACACTGTCTGAATCACTTCCACTTTTTCTTCGCAGGGAACTGAATCTGCTTTTAAAAGACTTTGATTCTGATTCTTTGGCATCAGAGGTGGAAGGTTCACTCGTTTCTTCGGCCAATGGTGCACTTGGTGGCGCTGATGCCGACAGCTTCTTAAATCCCTTGAGCAACTCTCCCGAAGCCATACTACGACTGAAAAATTTAGACGTTTTCCACGCAGCATGTTTTGGTGACTTGGAGCCAGCATGTTTTGATGCCAAATCTGATTTACCTTCACCTTTCTGCATAAGAAGACGTGTTGATATGCGCCTTTCACCTTTAGACGGCGATCGTAAAATTTCAGGTGTTGAGGATCTGGAAGAAGATGGGGAGGATATTGATTTAGATGATTTGGAAGGATCGCAATTCGGATTCAAAGTGACGAGGGGTTCTTGTTCTTTGTCTACATGGCCAGATCCACGTCGGGGACTTAGGGACCGTCTCCTTGGTGTGGGAGATTCTCCAACTTTGCAGATTTCCCGCTGCTGAAGTGCCATCGTCACATTTGACTGATGAATAAACTCAATACATAGTAGTCCATTTATAAAACCTAAAAATAAGAAATTAATAATATATATAACATATTAAAGATAAAGAAAGCACTAGTAAAATAATTTTTCTGAAGCATAATAAGTAAAGAGGCAGTTCACTTATGTAAAATTTTCAGAAAATTGATTTCAATAAAATTTACTCAATGACGCATTGTATGAAGTTACACATTCGGCGATAAAAACAACACACCCTAAATATCTTTTGATCTAAAGATTAGAATTTCACGAAATACAATACAATCTCAATACTTGCGTGATATATCTTATGAACAATACTTTTTTTATAGATCAACGAAATATAAGAAGCATTGTATTATGGTAGAAGACGACTGATTTTCTCTACAGGACAGTTTTCTCTTGATGAGAGTTGCTTCAGTCCATTACCATAACCATATAACCATTACCTACCACAAATTAGAGGTACAAGCACTTGCAGTGCGTCAATCATTGATTTTATTTTATTATTGTCAAGTCTTCGAAAATGAATCACACAGCGTCAAATCTTTTTAGATAAATGAATCAATGATCACAAAATGCATGGCTTTACTCATTTTTATTAAAAAATGTTTTCTATACCATATTGATTAGGGAGTGAATTCATTGAGCAAAAAACTACGGAGAAAAGTAAACAACTCGTCTTTTGAGGAAATTGAAAGCTTTGGAGGAAATCATTTCAAATAAAATCGACGTATTTAACAAAATCGGATTAAGTAATTCAATGTCCCTTTATACTCTAACCAATTATACACTATACTATAAGAAGTTTTGATAATCCGTTACCAAATTAATTATGTTTATACAACTAGAGAAATTCAATGACAAAATTTTAAAAGAAAACCTAATAATTTTTACTATCATGGAGAATTAGTTTTTTATATAACATTTGAAAAAGTGTTTCGCTAGTATAAATGAATATAAAATTGATTTAGACTTAATTTATAGGAAACACCATTTTCTAAACAAGTTCGTTCGATTTGAAGGTAAGAACAAATATTTTAACAAACCTTGAAACTATTATCTTCTTTGATATTATTGCTGAGATAACGGATTTATAAAAGAGCTCTTTTAAGTCCTTTAATTCCATTTTCCTGTTTAGAAAGAAATCTTAGATATACTTTAAATTTTTCTTGCGAATCTTTTACATGATTGCCCTTTTTTAGTTAAAACAAAAGAATTCTTTCCATTATTTAAGGGCTTATGTCTACGTTTCTGGAAAAAACAATTTTTGAACTCTAAATTCGGTCTTGTTACAGTTTATTTAAGTACTATAAGTACTAGAGTTTTTGGCCTTTTTTTGCTTTGTTCACCAGCTTCTATTACAATATCAAAGTTATCCTTTTTCTCTTGTATAACAAATAATCCATTTAAAGCATTAAAATATTTTTTCTCAATTTCTACTGAAAATTTTAAGTTAACTTTTTAAATAAATAACCCTTCTGTATACTTCAACTGTTGCTTTTTCATTTTCATAAAAATATGCTTTGCCGCTTCACTTTTATCAAACTAATATCGCATTCTTCAATTAATATGTCATATTAAAGAGGCAGATTTTAGCAATTTGAAAAAAATTACAAATTCAAAAAAGTACAATGTCTCCTCAATAAACATAAAACCTCTGCTTTTCAAATTGAAAGTTGAAACTTTGGACGAACAAAAAATTTCCTAAATTTACGTAATTTGGCTTAATGAACGCATGTTTGTGAACAAATATTTTTGATTGTGAGCATAATGAGTCCAAATATTGGTCAAGATTAACTGGTATGCCCATAAAACAATTATTGTTAGAATTTCTCAAAACTGTTCAATGGTTGTTAATGAAACAACAAATTTAAAAGCTACATTAATTTATTACAATCTAAACAAGCTTCTTCAAAAACTAATCCTTAAAAAGAAGAATCTGTTATAAAACAGCAAATTTAAAAGCCACTTTTATTTATTTCTGACTTAACCTTGATAGTGACAGTGAAACCTAAATTTGCACTTATGTTTTAATTATCATACTATTATTTTTTTTCCTTTTCGCTCATCAGACTTGTGTCTTAGTACAAAAAAAAATACAATTTCACGACAATGAACACAAAACCCCTGCTATTCAAATCATATCGAATATTGAAACTTTGAATCAACAAAAAATTTCCCAAATTTACGAAATCATGCTTTCAGAAAGTTAGTGTGCGAACAATTTCGATTAAGAACATAATGAGTCAAAATATTGGTCAAGATAAACTGGTATGCACATAAAACAATCATTGCTAAAATTTCTAAAAACTAATCAACGATTTGGTAATGAAACAGCAGATTTAAAAATTACTACAATTTATTACAATCAAAACAAGCATCTTCAAAAACTAATCCTTAAATTGATAACTCGGTTGTATAGCAACCAATTTAAAAGTCACTTTAATACTGACTTAATATTGATGACCTAAACACCGAAAAGCCATTACATTATGACCCCTCTCCATCTATAACAATGGGCTCGCCCAGGTTTTCATGGTTTCATGGTTTTGAATAATTTTTATCTTAGGATAATTATTCTTTATTCAGAAATATGGCATTTATTTGTACCAATAGATGTGTCTTAATAACGACTATTGGTTTTCCCATTTTTAGTTTATATTAATTTTATATATTAGGATACTTGCGTACTTT